TAGATAAGGTGTAAAGAAGTTGTAGTTGCAAGATGGTGATAATAGTACTGATGATATGAAGGTAGTATTATTGTTAATAACAGTATATCATAATAATAATAATAATAATAATAATAATAATATGTAGTTTGTGTAATAATCGCCATAAAACTTAAGGGCAGCTTTTGTTTAAAATCTTTTCTTTCTTTCTTTCTTTCTTTCTTTCTTTCTTTCTTTCCTACAAATCAAATATAAATTGTTTTATTTTATACATAAACGCAGATGTTTAAAGTGTAAAAATGATTTGCCCTAATTTAAAATCTTTAAGAAAGTTTAAGTGTAAAAATATCTCAGGGTTTTGTAAACAGAGAGCAGCAACCTTTACATTGTGTGTCACCCACTGTTTGTATTTTATTAGCAGCTATTGTTTTGTTCATTTATTTATTGATTAATTTAATTCTGTTGTATGTATTTTATGAACAGCTAAGTGCTTGTAATATTTACTCAATGCTTATATGATGTTTTCTTTAATGTTTTGGTCGATAATAAAAAATAAAATAAAACCTAAAGCTGAATTAATGTAAGAACAATCTGTTAATTCTCATTAATATAAAACATTTCAATGATTTATTATAATAAACATAATATCTAATAACTGGGTGCACAGTAGGTGGCGACATACGCGTCACTGGGGTTGCTTTGATTAAAACCCGACGAAGAAGAACTTCTTGCGTCGCCTGCGTGTGACGTCACCGGTCTTCACGTGTGGCCCGTCTGCCAAAACAACATTTAGCTTTAGTTTGTGACCTGATATCACAAGTTAACTCTTGATCTTCACACACACACACACACACACACTGAGGGACAACCATGGCCTCCAGCTGCCGGCGGCCTGAGCACACAGCTCCTCCAGATGTGGTCAGTGTCGAGGTTTATTCTGGTTTTCAGCTGCTAGGCTAATGCTTTTCTCCTTTACTGCCTTTAGATGGAGTATACCACCAGTGTGGACGATGATACGCTGTTTGTTCTCTTCTTTAAATAGTGGGATCAGCTCTGGGTTGTTTGTTTGTTTGTTTGTTTGTGTCTGTCATGTATTAAAAGTATTGATTTGATGATAATAGATGAGAGGCTCAAACTGGGGCTGTTTTTATTGGAGTATTAACCCGATGTGCTCTCATCCCCGCAGTTCTACAACGAAGAGGAGGCCAAGAAATACTCTCAGAAGTGAGTCTGGGTGTTATTTGTGTCTAACTTCCTGACTTGTTTCTGTGGTCGCAGTGTTTGAGAGAGAGATCGACCTTATCTGTCAACACATATTCTATATACATAACACAATATATTAATGAGCAGCTCAGGTGTCTTTTGTGAATTGATTTAAAACACTGTCACAAATACATACCAAATATATACAAGAGATGCTTTACAGACAGAATAAGAGTAATGGAGGATCACGGTTACAGTCTCCTCTGAACACTTAAATCAAAATGATTTTAATGGGATGTGGGACACTATTTCATTCACTGCTGAAAGACAGTGACAATCCCCTGTCTGAGGAAAGGTCGCTGCACTTGTGTTGTTTAAGTATATTTTTCTATTGCGTAGAAATTACATATCAAACTGTAACTGAAACTGTGTGTTTTGTTGCTTCACAGCTCTCGAATGATTGAGATCCAGACTCAGATGTCAGAGAGAGCCGTAGAGCTTTTAAACCTGCCAGAGGGACAGCCGTGCTTCCTGTTAGACGTGGGGTGAGTGAGTGACGCTGACTATGTGTACATGCAGTAATCTTCTTGTACTCTATCATTCTGAATGTATTCTAATTTGTAGATTAAAACCAATCTTCCTTTAAGTACAGTGGTTTTGTAAAATTGTTAAACTGCAACAACAGGATAGAAACATAAAATGAGGTCAACTAAATGTTGTGTACTGTAATAGTCTGGCAGTGTTTGTGGCACATGATATATATATATTCATATTATTTGTGTCTTAACATGACACATTTTAAGATCCAGAATAATACAGTAATGTTGTGTGTTTGGGATGTGAAGGACTCAGGTTGACTGTCTGTCTCTCAGGTGCGGCTCTGGTCTCAGTGGGGACTACCTGTCAGAGGAGGGACACTACTGGGTTGGAGTCGACATCAGCACCGCAATGCTGGGTTAGTGTGACAGCTGGTTGACAATATAATATTAATATTGTGAAATTATACTGAATATCATCTTAGTTTTCGGTTATCGTAATAATGTAATTTAGTTATTTTCAAAATCCATCATGTCAATAGTTTTTCCTACAATATCGTGCTAGATCAAGAATGTTTTTCCCAAATTGCTCCCCAGCTGCTCACATAATCTGAACATTAGAAGAAGAAAACATTATAATCACATTTGTTGTGCATAAAAATCTCGCTGGGCTTTGCATATTCATTTCCTTAATAACACACAGTGAGGTGCAGACCAGCGTCAGCATCAGTGAAAGCAAACATTTTCAGCTTTTCTGCCTTCATCACGGCGGTATTTGTTTAGCACACGGTAGCTCACCTGGTGGAGTGTGCACAGCTCTATATCAAATAAAGACATATTTATACCACAAATACCACAAATACCAAGTATGAAAAACATTAGCATCATCATTTCATACACATTTTTACAAAAAGTGACACCTGTTATACATCTTCCATTTGACAGATGTTGCACTGGACAGAGAGGTGGAGGGAGACCTGTTAGTGGGGGACATGGGCCAGGGGATGCCTTTCCGACCTGGGACCTTTGACGGTTGCATCAGGTGAAGAACAAAGCATGCTTGTGTTATAAAAAGCTAATTAATGTTGAATAATTTCTGACTCAGTTTTTCATCTACCTTTTTGTTTCATCCCCTGTCAGTATCTCTGCTCTGCAGTGGCTCTGTAATGCCGACAAAAGGTCACACAGTCCTCCAAAGAGACTCTACACCTTCTTTAGTACTCTTTACTCCTCTCTGGTGAGGTTTTATCACTTTCGTCGACTTCTGGGACACAAATACAAACATCCAGATGCCAGATTTTACAGTGAAGACCTTCACTAACTTCTCCTTGCTCTTTGTCTTTCAGTCCAGAGGCTCACGTGCAGTGTTTCAGCTTTATCCAGAGAACTCAGAACAGGTAATATAATGTTATGGATTGCGGATTATAACAACACATTATGTAATAACAGAATTTAACAAATTTTTACTTCATTATGTAATAACACTCACATTTTGTAATAAAATAATAATTATCATTATTTAATAATTATTAATAAATTGTTACATATTGTAGTGGTTATTTCTATTCATGATGAAGATGTATTAATATATCTAATATATCTATAAGATGCATTATGTGATAACCAACCAAAATGGTTGTTTTCATTTGTACCCATAATTTTATTTTTAATGAATTAACCTAAATTAAACTTCCTAAATATTAAATTAGACTTCTATGACCTGTGGCTTCCTCCTTGGCGTTATAGCTGACTCTGATCTTAGTCTAAACAGCCACATAAAATGCATGCACACATTTGGGGTTAACTACTGCAGTGGTTTTTTGACAGGGCTCCCCAAAAAGTTTCAGCTTATTCAAAACGCAGTTCATAAACCACAATATGTACTAAGTTATTACAAAATGTGGTAAAACTGTGGCAGATTATCATAAAATGCGAGTGTGTTTTTCAGATTCCTTTACCTTACCTTCACTCTTCTTCTTTCCTCTCTAAAGCTTGAGCTGATCACGACGCAGGCCATGAGGGCAGGGTTCGGTGGAGGCATGGTGGTGGATTACCCCAACAGCACCAAGGCTAAAAAGTCAGTACCTATCAGAAGCTGGGCTTTTATTTTGACACTTAAGGATGCAGCCATCTTCAATTGATTGACTTAATGACCTGTGAAATTAGTAGCAGTGTACTTGCAACACGAGGCTAATTAGAACAAGATGGCATTCATATCGACTGTTTGTCACATTAGCCGTGTGATGAATTATTACACATTAAAATGCACATTTAACACATCGTGTTTGTTTCCAGGTTCTTCCTGTGTCTGTTTGCTGGAGCAACAGGAGCCCTTCCCAAAGTAAGAAGAAAAGGAGTTAGCGTTGGTGGATATTGTAGCTGTGTGTATTTCAATTCAGCTCCATTATGATCACTGTGATATCTTTCTGTTTGTTTCAGGGGCTGGGATCAGAAACGTCAGACAGAGCTGTTTCAAACCAGGTCCAGTTTTCAGGACAAAGGTAAGGATATTCACAGCAGGTGGACACTGCTTACTCTAAGTAATCAGATTACTGGGATAATCTTAATGAATCGGTTTACATGGTTGGAAGTTTGTTTCAGTCACCAGAGTTTATCTGGATTTATTTGTTTGTGGGTGTATTTTGTCGTGTCGTAAGGAGCTTGAGGCAAACTGTCAGATGAAATTATGTTTTTCTTGACGTGTTTACTGTTAATTTTCTTACTGCTGAAATTAACGTGCATGTAAAGCATTTTGTAGATATCCCACAGTTTTTTACATTTGCTGGTTTCAGCTTCTTAAACAAGATGATTTGTTGCTTTTCTTTATCTTTTCTAACAGTATACAGAACATTGGTTTGGTTTTGGACTGTTAGCTGTAAGACAAATCATCTGAATACTTGGCTTTGTGAAACATTGAGCTCTGGGATATTGTGATCACCATTTTTACCTATTAACATTTGTTTTTAAACACAAACAATTAAGCGGTTATGAAAATAATAGTTAGCTGCAGCCCTACTTTACTCTGATGAGGATAATCCCTATTTCGTTATTGATTTGCCGTTTAAAACAATTGTATTACTTGTCATACAGACAGTAAGCACTAGGTCTTGGGCTTGACAAGCGCAGGTTCAGTCGTACCTGCTTTTGTGACGCCAGAGACCGAGAGAAATCTAAAAAAGGGTTGTCGTCCTGTCCAACTTAAAACTTTGTCGGGCAGCTTTTCCTCCCTTTTACATAGTGATGTTCAACTTGCTCCTCCTGGGTGCACAAAGAGGCTGGGGGGACGTGTGAAACATTATGCATCAGAGGCAGAGTTTTGAATTCAGATTGTCACAAAGAACAAAACACATTTTTGAACGAGCTAATCAGCCCCACTTTGTGTGTTTGTGAAGATGCCGATTCAAGAACATGAAGGGGAAATCAGTGAAGAAAGGACGCGATTGGATCTTTGAGAAGAAGGAGAGGAGGAGAAGACAAGGACGGTATGTAATCTTTTTGATATTTTGCTGAAATGTTAAATAATGTATCATGTTTAAGTTTAGCTTTAACTGAATCTCCTCTTGATTAGCAGTATTTTCTAACACTTTTTGACGCCTCTTCTCTCTCTCTCCCTGCTGTGTGTTTGTTGGCCTGCAGGGAGGTTCGAGCCGACACAAAATACACCGGACGTCAGAGAAGACCTCATTTTTAGATCTGACTCATGCAGCTGTGCCTTCATTAGCTCTCGTCTGTACCACCCATAACCCTACACCCACAATCACCTCTGGAGCTGCTGCTGAGTGTTTGGACTCGGTTCATTTCAACTCTTTAATTCAAGTGGATGAGATGCAAAAGTAAAATGCTATGACGGCCAATAGTTTTTATATTTGGTTGTGTTTCTGGTAAATTGTTTCTCCCAAATTGTGGTAAGACTGTGCTCTCCATGTTGACGTTGGCTGGAAGACGGACATCTACACTGCTTACGGGTGACACAGAACACAGTGGAGACCAACAATGCCTTAGAATTAAAGCATTTTTTCTGAATGAACAAATGCCACATCTCCTCTTCCATCTCCGATCAACTGTTTGTTGTATTTTCTGCAGAATTTTCTCCATTTAAAAATCTGCAAAACTAGTGATTTGTATTATATTTACAGTTTTTTTTCACAATAGAGAAGAAATGGAACAAGCACAGCTCTGTTTTGCAGTCCAGTGTTACAAAGACCACCTTGTAAAGGAGATGGAGGATATACAAATTAACACATTACACAATGCATATACAGATTTGTATGATGGTCCTGAACAAACTGGAAGTTCATTAAGTTTAAGAGTCAGTATAAAGAAAAACAACCTCTCTCATGAGGAAAAAATGCTGCTCCAGCTATTACAAAATCGTTTTTAGAAAGTTGCTTATATGTTTGATGGTTTATGTATCTTCTATGTATCAGTAACATACATACACGCATGTAGACAAAGTTATTAAAAGTGAGTCTTTAGTCCTTATTTGCACAAGAAAATGGAGGTTAACACCCAAATGAGCACGTTAAGGCAGCAAAAACAAGAAAAAAACACATTTAAAACGATCGTGTATGTTTTAGAGGTCTTATCCTTCCTCCATACAATCTGCACGGCCTGTGGCCCCCAGAGGTCGCTGTGCGCTTTGGCACACTGGAAACCACCTGGGCGTTATCTTTGAACCTGCTCAATCGATAACCAAACCCAACACAATCTCCCCACTCAGCCACACACACTCTGAGGTGATCATTTCTTTCCAATCAAGCCTCCGAACTGTCGGGCAGACTTTAACCGGAGCAGACAGAAACTTGGAGAAGAGGTTTAAATAAATAAAAAAGATCAATTAGTGCGGTTTGAGGGGTAAGTTGAGGGTGTGTAATGGGTTAACGGCGGAAGGCCTCGCCTCACCTTTAGTGCGCGTCACCCGGCTCTGTAAAGTGGTCCCACCATCCCAGCGTCCAGTATTCAAAGGAAGGGAAATCACCGCCTCTCGCCGCCGCCAGACGCGCATCCTCTCCCCGGCATCATCCAGTCGGTCTCCGCCCCGCCGCTCCATCATCTCACACATCCACAAGACATCGGGAACTGAAGGGAATAAGAGTGATATACCGGAACCATGAAGGACCGCATGCAAGAACTTAAACATGTAAGTTTACTGTACGATTCTTCTAAATGATCAGCTTCCACCTGTTATGTGAATAGATGCGGGTTGAACGCGCTTTTTTTGGGTTATATTAAAGCGTATTCAGAGAGCACAGAGCTGGTGCGCTGATTGAGCAACAGTTGTGACTCTCGGGGGTCTGATGGAGGCTGAAATTTGGTGTTTTATTAGAGGCAACAGGCGCGTATTGCTACCGAACTCTCCTGTGTGTGTGTGAAGGTGGATAAAACCCAGCTGAGATCAAGGTGCTTGATCAGAAATCTTTTTTTTTTTTCTTCTTTGTCAAAAAAGCACTTTGATCTTCCTGCTTATATTCTTTAAGCAATTTCTAGGCTATTAGAGGATGTGTCTGGGGCTAAGAGGGAGTTTGTAGGTTAGACACTTTGGCTCATTCATTCCATATTCAGTGTTCAATTTCTGTAATATTCTAGATCTTAATAGTTATCCAGAGATAGTTAGATTGCAAATCGTGTAGCCATATGTGGAAATATGGTCCCGTGAATAAATGTGTGTGTGTGTGTGTGTGTGTGTGTGTGTGTGGTTTGATCGATCTGACCAACTATGGGTGTGTGATTGAAATAGCAAACTGGTCCCAGCTCGCCCATTTCACCCGTTAAATGTCCGCCCTATGCGCCTCACAGGCGGTCTTATCCAAAACCCTTTAACCACCCACACTGAGCACAATGTTCTGTCCTTTTTCCACATCTTCACTCTCAACCCGACATCCCCTGATCATGAAAATAAAGCCTTAAAATCAATTAATTTGACTTCGTGTCGTGTGTTTCTTTTTTTTTTTTTTTTTACTATTTATAATTGTTGCTAAAAGCCATTTGTTGTTGAATTTGCAGATAAAATGAGACCAAGAGGAAGCATGGTGGATCAGGTTTTAGCCTTGAGTATCATCCTCTATAGGAATGCTGCTTTTGAGCTTGATATAGGCTAGTGTGTGTGTGTGTGTGTAGTGTGTGTGTGTTGTTGTGTGTGTGTGTGTATGGTGGTAAAGTGGCCATTGTCAGTTCTGGATAGCCTAATTGGCAGTTAAGCTGAGGGAGAAGAGGGGAAACAATTTACAGCTCCTCAGTTTTCAGTGAAGATCTAGCTATGAATTGGCCTCCAGGGAGACAACCCAGCCCTGCCAACTGTGTGTGTGTGTGTGTGGTGTGTGTGTGTGTGTGTGTTTGAGAGAGGTGTGTCTCCAGCCTGCCATGCTGTTTGCTCACAGTGCTGGAAGGATGCAGTTGTACAATCTTGAGAGAGAGAGACAGAGAAATCGCCTGAATCTTCCTCACCAGCTTCAGAGAGGAACCTCAACCAATACTCACTTGAACCGTTCAGGATCGGCAGAAATTGTCTGTCAGCTGCTGATTCTATTTTCTTTTATTATTTTTGATCATATCTTTCATGTCTGAGTGATGGCTGCTGGAGCCGCTCCAGCCAGACCAATTTCAGGCAATCCGGACCAAATAAAATTGAAGTAAATTGTGTGTCACAGACTGTTATTTCCCATCAGCACTAGATTAATATTGTTTTCCATTTACTGCCTCAAGATAATGCAGCTTCTTGAATCTCATGTACATGTCTCGCTGCGTCTAGGCAGCATATTATAACAGAGTCTGATATATGTGTGATTGTATAAAAGCTCTGGATGGGGGTTAATAGACTGGGGCTGTAACTCATTTATATTTTCAATAATAAATTAAGTGCATCAGAAAATAGTGAAAAATGCCCGTAGCAAGTTCCCAGGACCTGGACCCAATTTTCATCCACAGTAATAGCTATAAAAACCAAGAAATCTTGCCAATGCTCACATTTGAACGGCTGAAACCAGCAAATTTAGTCAGATTTCCTTGATTTCAAGTTGAATTTGGAGAAATGTTGCATCTTGTACAAATGCTCCTGCTGAGATTTGGTGGTGAGAGCTCAATGGGTCACTACCAACGCTTTAGCTCAATTTGTAACATTAAGTTTGGTTTACTCTGTGATTTGATTACGTCACACAACACCAGAAGCAAGCTTGGAAAAATCACCCCGCACTTTGCTCATTGCAGGACATTTCAAATAGCATGTTTCGATCTACTGAGGCATCATCTCAAACCTACAGCTGATTGGACGAACCCACCTCGTGCTGGTTTTGTATACACTTGCTTGGTCTTTGCTTCCAGGTTTTTCAAGCTGGCAGCTGTTATGCAAATATTGTCATTAAATTAAAAATCGTTTAGTTTTTGAATACATTTGTGGCAAGAAAACATGCCATGCAGCTGCAGACTTGTATCTTCTATCTCTCTGTAATAGTTGTAATAGTAGAGTCCCTCCAGGAATCGTGACCTTATAGTGATGGAGGATTGAGGCGCCCCATGACCCTCCTGGTAGGGTATCTGGAAAACTGGTCTTTTATGAGGGGCCAAACTAAGAGTTGTTCAAAACCTTCTATGGAAACTTATCTTTCCAACTCTTAGAACACTGCATCTAGACTCCTGTCTGAAGCACAAAACAGGTGGATAATGCGGACTGGGGTTAGACTTGAATATAATATAGGCATGTTTTCAAGTTCTTCTACGGAGTCCACCATGTTTCAACAGTAGCCCAGAAAGGACAAACCCAACACTGGCAATAGATAGGGCCTTAAGCTTTTGTTTATGAGTTTAGCTGCCACCTTAGTTTCTCTTCAACAGCTTGGAGGGCGAGTGGTATTCAAATAGTTGCAATCTGCAATGTTTTCTGTAAAAAGAATGCAATACCGAGGCTTTCTTGACACACCTTTTATATTTTGATTAAAAATGCACAGATCCTGATACTGATCCTTTTACCTCCTCTCAGAGCATCTGGCCATATCCAGTGCCAACAGCCTGCTGTGACTTAATGAATGTAATTGATAGTGGAAACATGAATTTTAAAATGACATTGACAAAATGAATGGCTATGACATCTGGCCAATATCAGTGATACTACTGATTGTTGTATTGGACTGATGCACCCCTCCTATTGTTAAAAATTGTCATTGTTTTTTGGGACGTTTTAGTCTTACAGTGTGAAAAAGTTTGTTTTGTGCCACGTGTTGCCAAATTGCTTAAATGCCTAAAATAATTATCTTCAAATATCTACTAAAAAGATGTCACGTAAGTGTTAATTTTCTCATACAAATCCAGTGAGGGCAGCAAAAAAGAAGAGAACTAAACTTTATACATTTTGTTGCTTTTGTGTGTGCTTTTGTAGACTCAAGTTTACTCACCCATGTGCTCGTGTGTCATTTTGGCAGGAAATTGAGTTTTGCTCATATGTGTGTGTGCGGGTGCAGGTTCTGCTCCAACATTGCCCATATGCACATAAAGCTACTTTATGAGCTCAGCACCTGCCTTCGACTCCGCTCTTCCAGTAGCTCATTAGCTTGCTGCCTAAAAACTGCCAGTTTCAATAACTGAAATGGTCATACGGCCTCTCCTCTCGTCCCATCACTCCCAGTTGTCCGAGCAGTGATTTAGTAACAGATGGCGTAGATAAGATGCGTTTATCAGCCTTCTTCAAGCTGTGAAACCTACGGGGGGGAAACATGTTGATGAGGTTATTACAGATCTCACATACCACAGCGACTGTTATCAATCAAATGTGATTGTTTATCTCCTCCTTTTTTCCTGACGTTTTATCAGCTGTCTTTTTTTTCTGCCATTTTGTCATTTGATTGACCAAATCTACCTCTTTCCCCATCTCCATCTCTTTTTAATAATAACCCTCTCTCTTCTTTCATCCTCTTGGTAATGCAGAGTTCCTCCATCATTGCTCTTTGCTCTCTATCAGTGATTTATCAGATTGCTTCCTGCCCTCCCTTTCATTTTTCCTTTCCTTTCTCCCTTCTGTCTTTCTCTGTGCAGCCTTGTTAGTCAGTGTTAGTATTGGTTCAGGCAGCTCTTTGTGAGTGTGTATGGCAGGGCTACTCACTGTCACTGCCTGTTTGGCGTTCGAGTGACACATTAACTAATAGGATGGATGTGGAGCACCGGCTCAGAGGCCGCGTGTGTCTTTGACTCGTGTTTCTTTTCATTATCCCTTCTCTTTTTTTTCTGCTCTCATCCATCTCCCTTTTATCCCTTTTTATTCCCTGTCCGTACCTCTTTTTCTTCTGTCCTTGACCTGATCTTGGCTGTTGACATGTTGTCAGTGACACAAACGACAGTGCCACTTTGCATGCTGTTGAACTGAACACTGGTCCTAGAGGGTCAGAGGTTATATTTGTCCTCTGTAAACGAAACCAGCAGCTCTCTGGTTAAAATCAGCGTTGGAAGAAATAAAGTACCAGCGAAATACGCTGTCATCGTCTTATATTGTCTCTACTAACCATGTGAAAGGCATATACACTCTCAAACATATTATTCATCAGCAAATAGAGGCTAAATAATTGCATTAATGAGCCATGAAATAAGTGTGACCGATCTGGCATTTCACCAGGGACTTGTCTGTCTTTGCAAATGAGGTGACGGTTGCAATGATATCCGATATCTGTCGGCTGCTAATAGGTGTTTTTGAAAGTGATTGGAATGTCCATTGAATCATTATGCACTACAACATTGTCATCAATCCCAGCAAAGCATGAAATAAGAGCTTGTATTCATGATTTTATTGAGCTGTCTTTTACCTATGACATTTCCTTGAAATCAGTCGGCTGATTGGTTTTGTGGCGAAGACTGCTTGGTAAAAATGTTGTTGCTTGTTCTTGTGCTTCTCATAAAGCCCCTGAGGCATCAGCTAATGGAGATCCTAAAAATAAATATAGACTATTCTGTAATCAAACCTACCCCATCTGCTGTGGGAGAATTAGCTTCGGGTCATCTTTGTTACTGCTGCTAAAATGTAATTTGTAATGTTATTCACATCATCTCATTATTGACAGCAGAATGGTTCTTTAGCAGTACAGGTAACGTGTTTTATCACAGATACTTGTTGGAGATTACGGTTGTGAACTGTCACTGACCTCATTAGGTCTTAAGAAGCTC